CCCCCCCCCCCCTCCAACAACAAATATCAACGTCCGCCAACACATTGACCTGCCTAGAAAGAACGATTACCCAAGAACAAACGGAGGACTTGGACAAACCAATCACCATAGGGGAACTTCACCAGGAATTGATGGCCTGTCCAAAGAATTCTGGATCCAGTTCTGGCCAACACTGGGCAACGACCTCTTGAACTTCATCAACGACAGTATGGAAAAGAGAGGCCTGGGTCAATTTCTAAGCACCAGCGTAGTGTCACTAATATACAAAAAAAGGAGACAAGGAGGACCTCAAGAACTACAGACCAATCTCACTTCTCACAACGCCATACAAAATCCTAGCAAAAGCATTAGCCAACAAAATCATAAAACTAACAGACAATTGCTTTCACATCAACCAAGCAGGATTCATCCCGGGTTGATACATTCTGGATAATGTGATGGCTCTAAATGAGGCAGCAAAGAAGATCACAAAAAAACGAATGCAAGCAGCGATCTTATTCTTCGACTTTGAAAAGGCGTACGATCAAGTCAATTGGGACTTCCTCCACAGCTGCATGGAAAAGATGGGAGTCGGCCCAAATTTCTGAGAATGGGTTAAGAGTACTCTAAGGGGATGCCACTACCACGGTGCAGATAAACAAAATAATGTCAGAAACCTACCCGATATCGAGATTCGTCCGGCAAGGCGACCCCCTTGCACCCCCAATATTCCTGCTCATAATGGAAGCCATCGCATCTTTCCTGCGCAAGGACCCATCCATAGACCGCCTCACCGAACAAAACTGCAACCCCCTCTACGACTTTGCTCTCCCCACTGCACAGATGTTCGCAGACGATCTCACGGTCCTCATCCGCGCTAACAACTTCACCTTCCAGGCCCTCGCCCGCACCATGGAAGCCTTCAAACTCTCCTCATAAATGAAAGTGAATTGGCTAAAAACGGAAGGGTGGTGGCTCACAGAAGGCATCTCCCCCCAACCCCGAGACCCATCCACCCCAATGTCTTGGACTACAGGCGATCAAGCACTTCGATATCTACGCATCATGGTAAGTAAGGATGACATCTGATAAGGGATGGGGGAGTCACTACTCGCCAGAGCAATAACCCGTTTAGCCACCTACAACAAAACTCAAGCCTCCTTACTAGGAAGAACCCTAATTATCAACACAACAGTATTCTCCACCTTGTGGTCATGGCCTCCATATGGTGCCCCCCCGACGACGACCTGAAGAAGCTGAAGGCTACAACCAGGTGCTATATGTGGACTGGCAACCCCAACAGAACCACCTGCATAAACAAGGTGGCCTCACAAACTGTCATCAGGAAACCACAAGAAGGAGGGCTAGGTATAATCTAATGGATAATAAAAAATCCTAACCAAATCAAATGGATAATCAAAATCCTAACCAAACAAGCCCTCCCATGGACCGCGATGGCAATAGACAGCATAAGGAATTTGGCACCAGCAGCGACCCCACCAAACATGAGTGGCCTATCCTAGATTATCGCAAAGGAGTGGACAATCAAATCGGGGAGACCAGCAAGGAAAACTAACACAGCGACCCCCATTCAACCCCCCACTACACCCACCCCCTACTAGTCTCCGATCCTGAAGACCTGGCGTCGTCTGATGCCAAAAAGGAAAGGCCCCCCGAGCAACAAAGAGGAAGTCCTACAACAACCCCTGTTCTGCAATCCCTGGATCAAAGACACAGAGGGCAAACCGTGGACTCTCCGGGCCAAAGACCGCAGATGGCTGTCATGGGTGGAGAGAGGAGTATGGCAGGTCAAACATATGTGGTCCGAAGACAGACAAGAATGGCTCACCGCACAGGACCTCCGCACTCCCATAAAAGGTTGCCATCTACTGACCACCAACCTGTCCGAAATCCTCCTAAGCATTTCCCTCCCATGCACGACCCTCCTAAAAGAGACACATACCTGGAAACCAGAAGACTGGGGACTGCTCATCACACAAACCCCACCAACGAAAGCCTACTGTTTTGAGTCAAAACCGGACTTAATCAACTACCAGGCCAAGTTCGTATCCTACCCCATCATCAAACATGACCTATATGAACTAGAGATCCTAAACAAAACACCACAGAACGAACAAATAGAAACCTACCTTCTCAGGAAGGTTAGTCTCTCACAAGACACCCTGGTTTATATTCCAGCCGGAGCTCGGCATCAACGAGTTGAAATTCAACCCAAAGGAATGGATCTGGGATCTGGGTGCCGCCAGTAAATCGAGAAGGATAACAGAATATGATGTAAAGTTCGGGTATAACCTCGGACTACAAACCAGGGACCCGATTTCAATGCTGGCAGAGAAATGGAGAACCATACTGAACCTAGATACCACGACCCCCATCACCATCACATGGACCAAATACCTTCTCATCAGACCAAGCAGAATCCGAAGTATGCAATGGCTAATAGCACATGCAGCCCTGACAGTCAACCAATGGTTACATGAGAGAAGGAAACATTCTGATCCTGATAACTCTGCATGCTGCTCAATGTGTAGCAACGACTCACCCGAAGCCATCCCCCACTGCCTCCTCTTCTGCCCTGATGCAATCTGGATATGGAAGAAGATCCGCGAGCTATGGTCGATCCTGTTCGTTGCCCCCCCCCCAAAAAAACTTGCCCCCTATCTCTATCCTACTTCTAACTAACATCCCCATCAACATCACAGGCAGCTGGGAAGCATGGTTCACCCTACTCAGGAAGCTGGCACTGTGCGTGATACAAAAACGCAGATGCACTCAGACAATCGAGGGAACAGAGGTGGCACGAGAAGAAATGTGGTCACTACTGCTGAGCATGGCAGAGACGGAAATCAGGAGCAGATGGCAGAGAATAGCAAACTCTACGGGACACAGACCAGAAAGACAAGCAACCAAGAAACGGACTTTCATAAGGAACTGGTTGCTAAAAGGCAAGGTGGCAACAATAGTAGACAATAGACTGAGATGGAAGAAATGGCACCAGGCAGAAGCATGAAGACCACAAGGATACATGCCGGGAGACCTGGCAGAAGGTTCTGAATGGTGATCAACAAAAAGAGGACCGGACACACAGGGAAAGACAAGGACAAGCAACAGGACACAGAGCGGACCCCCCCACTGTTGTCGTATTACAGGGACTCATTCGACAGGCTCTAAATAGAAGCCTGAGAGGAACAAATGGTCAGGGCGAGCTCACAGTCAATCCTCCTTAGAAGGAGCAATCAATGCTGATCACGGGTCCTTCGGGCAGACGGAAGGAAGGGTTGAGTGGGTAATATGATGTAATCCGTTTTTGACTTGCCAGGGGAATAGGAACTGGACTGACGCTCCCCAGAATGGATATGGAGCCAGGACCCTAAGGACCTGTTAAAAAAAAAAAAAAAAAAAAAAAAAAAAAAGGATATTGTGGGTAGTGATATGGATGGTCCATACGTCATCAGAATCCCTGGTCATCTGTGATATGGATGGTCCTTCATACGTCATCAGAATCCCTGGTCATCTGCGCACTTACCCTGTATTTCACGCTTCGAAGCTTGCACCTTTCGCTGAGACAGATCCATTTCCATCAAGAAGGTCAATGCTGGCGCCAACCATGGATGGCCACGTTGACGTCAAGTTCGTCAACGATATTGTGGAACACAGAGACTTGCCTGTTCCCAAGCCAGAGGGCAGAGGAAGACCCCCCAACCCCGGTCAGGTTCAGGCATCATACGGATCCGAAGGAAGATCGTTGGTTCACAAGAGAGCCTGTCAATACAGCCCCTTACATCGTTCCAGAATACGAACGGAGACTGCGTAGAAGCATCTCAGAGACTTTCGAAGCTCAGGGGGATGGAATCCGAGGAATGAGCCCTCGCGGGGCCCTTGTCAGCAATGCACATGTTCTGGGCTGAGGCCTCCAGCAAGGCCTGTGCCCGCCCTAAGTGAAGGCGGGCCAAAATATCCACATGAGGCCTATTTCAGACATTGTCCATATGTGGGTACTCAGACAATTGCAGCACGCCAGCTGGTTACAGTGAAATGTGAGCCTTCTGGCTCTTTCCAGAAACTTGGGTTGCGCCCTGGGCACGCACAGTGTGGGGTTGACACATCACGCAGCGGCCATTGTCGTCACACATGAGCCGGAGCCAATGAGAAAGCGGCAAAGACTTGGAGGCTGCGTGGCTGCCTGAATGTGCTTAACTGCACGAGGCCCAGACCAATATCGGGAACTGGGCCTGGGCGCAGACACCTGGGGCCCAACCGAAGCTACTGGGCCCCCCCACATGCCTGGCCAGGCCAGCCAGCCGCGACACACTTTCCATAAAGGAAAGTGTGGAAAGTGTGAGCCCCTCTGGCAGAGGCATTCGGGCCTTGGCAGGCAATGCGGACACGCTGCTGCGCTGCTGCGCTAGCGTCTGCATGGGCCTGCCGGTCGGACGCGCCCACGGGCGCTGAGGTGAGGGGCGCTGCAAGGGCGGCGGGCACACAACAGCCATAGCCGGCCTGCAGGGGCGCAAGGCGGGGGATGGCGGATGTGCGTGATGTGGGGAGACGAGGGATGATGAGGAGAGAGAGAGAGAGGACGTACCTGGCGTATGCTGGTGGTCGGCATTGGTGTTGACGTCACGTACATTGGTCTTCGACTTCGGTGTGATCCAGTCGCATGAACATAGATAGCATAGATAGGCTGAGTAGAGTAGGCTGGGCACTGAGCGCCAGACAGCAGGGGCGGCATTGGAAACAGTGTTCGTGTGACCAGAGAGTGTCAGCATTGGCACTCAAATTCATTGTAGTGCTCTTATGTGGATGGTATCTTGGTCCATTTGAGCTCTCTGCTTGGTACTTGACTATCTGGACTACTTCGTGATGCTGCATTCTGGTTTTCTGTCTATCGCTCTCGCTCATATTCCTTGCAATGACCTGAGCACCACCATAGAATGAACATAGCTGACCTTCCATGGAATTCCAGATGCTTCCACTTGCTCCCAGAAAACTCGTGCCAATAATCATAAATGACTTCCCAACATACTGCACAAAGCCATGATCAACAACTATCCTCATGAATCTATTGCACCATCATCACTGAATGATTCACAGATCATGAAATCGTGAGATGGGAAGAACCTCAACATGAAGAACGCTCGCAGTACCGAATATTCTCACCTCCTCCGCCAGTAAGAAACTCAACACCATTATACGCAATAACCCGTCCTCAAAAAGCTCCCCTCGAATGAAACACAACTGAGATGATGTCACTCATCGTCCTCAATGTCTCCAGCACGTAATGAACCACATGAAACATATCAAGTCAACCACCGCTTCATCTACCGTGTGACAATACTAAGAACCCGCTGGCCTTTTATAGCGCACTACCAATAACAGTACTGTGAACAGTGCATACGTCGGTGAAAACTCCCCACCGCCCATGACTATGCACGATCGATGAATCTGAACCCAAACACGTCAGCCATACTGTTTGTTCACTACCTCACAATACTGCCCTACGACAACCACACATATCAGATTCGACAGCAAGCTTACATAAACGAAGCTTCAGACAGACACGTGTATTGCGGTATATACACACGGCCAAGGTGTTGAACATTGCTTACCAGAAGAATGTTCCATTAGCTGTCAAGGTGCAAAATATTCAAACCAGAGAGCTGCGCTGTGGGTATAAACTTGAGGGCCACTCGATCACCATCAAACCTCCTGTCGAATGGACACATTGCAATCCACACTCTGCATCGACATCAAATTTTAGTAACACGGGGGCCCCGAAACCAGGAAACACTGGTGTGCCCATTTTGCAGAACCCCAAAAATAAAAAAACAGCCTTGCACCACCACCGTGAGTAACTCCACATTCCAATCCCTACACAATAAAACAAACACACCCCTCCCCACAGTCAACAGGTAGAGAGAGAGAGAGAGAGTGTGTGTGTGTGTGTGTGTGTGTGTGTGTGTGTGTGTGTGTGTGTGTGTGTGTGTGAGAGAGAGAGAGAGAGAGAGAGACTCAGAGCGCAAGCATCGGTGCCTGCCCCCATGTCGAAGATGAATTGGTTGGTGTTTATGATCTGCTTAGGATTTTTTTTTTTTTCCCATATACAAAACGAATGTCGTCATAAACAACAAAAAGGTTGAAAAAACTCCAAAACGAAAAACAAACAAACAAAACCCCAGGTTATGATGAAACCTCCAGAGGGCGTTAAGACGTTTTCTGGCTGTCAGAATATATCAGAATCTCCCACTTGGAAATACACGCTTTTTCATTTTTTTTTCTTTTTTCCTTTTTATTATTTCTGCATATATTGCATTGAGCCTCACTGCTCGACACCTTGAGCACACACGCACATTGAGAGATGCACGAAATCCACTCTGGAGTCCAGAAATATTCCTCACGGGGCTTCACTTCACCCCATCTCACTTTACCTATTGGTTAAGTGATCCGCCTCTTTAGTGGTAGGTCATAGGTTCGGTTCCTAGTGAGTTGATCTTGGACTTCTTGTGTATACATCCACTGCTACTCAGCTCTATCACTACTACTGACTTATGCGGTATGGCCGCCTTCCCTCTCAGTGCAGCGCTGCCCAGCAGGGCTCTTGCGTGCATGTCATTCGCGGATAGCGCACAAGCGCTTCAGCAGCACTTCCAGACTTCTCACGAATGAGCAATCTCCCGGAAATGTGGCTGGCCAGTCCTTATATTGACTTGGTTGAAGTCTGGCTGGTGCTGTGGGTTGTCCCTCAGTGCATTTGGGTCGAGTCTGGGTACACCAGGTCATGGTTGATGCATGCTGGGGTGGGGTGAAATATTCCTCACGGGGCTTCACTTCATCCCAGTTCACCTATTGGTTAAGTGATCCGCCTCTTTGGTGATAGGTCATAGGTTCGGTTCCTAGTGAGTCGATCTTGGACTTCTTGTGTATAAAATCAAGCACTTATGAACCAGTCGGATGCCCTTGCCGT